GTAGGCCTTGCAACCAAAAAGGCTACGACATGTAGGCCGGGGCAAGGGGAACGAAGCCTAGTGGGCTAGGGACTCGTTGGACGTCGAGCCAAAGGCTGCTGGCTTTTGGTTTTGTGTGAATGAATTATAGGTCCATCAGTCAGATCAGGCCCTAGGGCCTTGAGATGTCTGGGTTAGTGCAGCAAACCCAAATGGTGCTGTCGTGTGATCCACTCGACTGGGCTTCAGGCCATCGGTGGTCCATGGTGCCACGGTGGGTGCTTCAATATATATATATATATATATATATATATATATTGACAAAATATATAAACATAATATATATATATATATATATATATTGTAAGGAAAATATTAACATACATCACACTACCAACTAGAGAGGCATAAGACTTGTCTTTCATAACTTGGATGTCATGATCAGTCACGGGACTTTGTAAAAGAGAAAACTTGTCACCTTTGGCAATGGTAACATCACCACCACTGGAATTCTCCATATTAAACCTTTTGAGAACTCAATCAATGTAATTCTTTTGAGATAACCCCAACGTTCTCTTCATCATATCCCTTATAATCTCAATGCCTAAAACATAGTAGGCCTTACCCCAATTATTTCATATCAAAACTATTGGACACATTTTCTTAGTCTCATTTAACAACTGCATATTTGAACTTGCCAATAGTATATCATCAACATAAAGAACCATAAATATGAAATGGGACTTATGCTGCTTCATGTAAATGCAGTTATCAATCTTGTTTTCCACAAAACCAAATGATTACGCAACTTGATCAAACCTTATATGCCATTGCCTAGAAGCCTGTTTTAGTCCATAAATAGACTTGTTGAATTTACATACCTGATTCTCTTTCCCCCTTTCAACAAATCCTGGTGGCTACTTCATGTAGATGTCCTCATTAGGACTCCTATTGATAAATGTAGTTTTAACATCCATTTGGTGCAACTCTAGATTAAAATGAACCATGAGGGCCATGATAACTTGAAATGAATCTTTGGTAGACAGAGGGGAAAAAGTTTTAGTATAATCAACACATTCCCTTTGTGTAAAACCTTTAGCCACAAGTTGGGCCTTAAACCTTTCAACTTTTCATTGTGCATCATGTTTTGTTTTAAACACCCATTTGCAGCCAATTGGTTTAAGGATGAGAGAACCTTCAACCAAAGACCAAACATCATTCTTTGCCATTGAATCCAGTTCGTCTACCATTGTAGCTTTCCAAAGAGCACTTTGTGAACTCTCTGTTTATACCATATTTAGGGCCTCGTATTTAGATCTCGTACAAATATTCGGGGGACTTAAATGTAATTATGTGATAAAGGAAAGGGCAAATATGTAATAAGTGAGAAGTCCTTATTCTATAAAAGGACCTTTCACCCTCACAATTGGAGAATGCCAACTCTTAGGCCTGAAGCCCCCTCACCCTCTCACATCCCCTCTCACATTACAGAGGTTCTCTCCCTCACAATCCTCTTAGAAATACATAATCAATGTGGACGTAGCCTAAACCTTGGGGTGAACCACTATACATCTTGTGTTATTTACATTACTTGCAGATTCACGGTAGGATTTATGTTGTACCAAGACCTCCGGTATTGTGCATCAACACTCTCAATTGCTTATTTATAAGTCACCAGATCGTCATGGTCACCTATGTCATATTCAACTTCTTGCAGATAACACAAATAATCACTAGGGAGGGCAGATTTCTTGTTTCTTGTGGATTTCCTCAACATAGGTGGAGGGTCGTGGGAAGAAATGGCTAGTGTTTCCGTCACTATTATTGGTGGATGTGAAATAGTCGAAGGTTCCAATTCACCAACATTTTGAGATGTAGAAGCCACTGTTTCAAATTCATTAGGGAGATCACGAACTGATGATGAAACTGGAATTGCAGCACTATACATTGACAATGGAATAGTGACTGAATTAAGTAATGGTTGAGTTGGTGACTATTTCTTCTCCTCAAATACATATGATTGCCTCGATTGTGAATGAGGCAAACCAAAATCTTCTATAAATTTTGCATTGTTGCTATCAACCAACCTTGTATGTGAATATGGGCAATAGAACTTAAAGCCCTTCGACTTTTCAGAATATCCAACAAAGAAACAACTTGTAGTCTTCAAGTCCAGCCTATTTTCATTAAGATTGTACAATTGTGCCTCACAAGTGCATCCCCAAGTGTGAAAATGATTGAAACTCGGTTTTGTCCTTGTCTAAGCCTCCAATGGAGTGGTTTTCATTGCCTTAGTTGGTACTCTATTCAATATGTAGTTAGCTGTTTTGATAGCTTCCCTCCCCCCGCCCCCCCAAAAAAATAAGGCAACTGAGAATGTGACAACATACTTCGAACCATGTCATTCAAGGTTTGATTCCTCATTTCTGCAACTTCGTTTTGAGATGGGGTTCCAGGCGTGGTGTACTCTACTATTATCCTTTCTTGTTGTAAAAACAGTGCAAATGGACCTTTGTGTTGTCCACTTTCAGTATATCTGCCAAAAAAATTCCCTTCCACGATCTGATCTCACAATATTTATTTTCTTATTAATTTTTTTTCAAGTTTGAAAATTTTAAAACAGTTAAGAACTTGGGATTTTTCTGAAATTAAATATAGATATGTAGATCTTGAAAAATCATCAATGAAGAGAACAAAGTAAGAATTTCCACATATTTTCTTGTTGGAAATGGTCCACACACATCAGTGTGGATAATCTCTAAGAGATCATTACATCTATTGGCTTTCGACTTCTTGGTTGAATTTGTCATTTTTCCTTCATAACAGTCTATGCAATTCTCAAGTTCATTAAGTTCAAGTTTTGACAAAACACCTTCTTTCATTAATCTTATCATCATCTCTTTCGAAATGTGCCCAAGTCTTCTATGCCAAAGCATGGAAGAAGTTTAATTAGTGAGCAATTTTTTGATGCAGAGTGTTCAATATTAAGACATTCATGAAAGTAAGTGCACTGAATTTGCCAAATATCACCATTGAGAAATGCATATCCAAGGAGATTGTCAAACTGATTTTTAAAGAAAAACTGAATTTGATTGTCATTACCAACATAAGAAAAACCATCTTTTAATAATTTTCTTTGGAGGAAAAGAAGAACCTGGATTTTGTGCAAATGGCTTGGAGCCTTTGTAGTTGGAACTATGGTAGCTTGCAGGCATCTTTCCATTCATATTCCCAACATGGACAAGATGGATAGTATCATGCTTAGCATTCTTCATCATTTCCTCTTCTTGGCAGCAAATGGCAATCAATTCATTTATATCCCAGGTCTCATTTTGAGTGTTGTAACTCACTTCGATCTGCTTATAATCATTCGACTGTGAGAACAATGCCATGTGAACTAAGAACTGATATGTTATTCCTATGTCCATGGCATTAAGCTTGTTGGAAAGATTAACAAGCTTGAGCAGGTGCTCCTTGACGCTTCCAACTCCATCATACTTGGCATTGATGAGTTCTAAGAGATACATTCTAGTTTCAACCTTGTCAAACCTTTTGAATTTCTCCTCGATCTTTTCCATGTAATCCTTAGCCAAATCACAAGATGAAATCCCTCCTCTAATGTGATCTTCCATGGCATTTTGCATTATGAGAATGGACATTTGATTAGCCCTTTCCCACTTAGCAAAACTATCCATTTGCAGCGATGTGCTTTCTTCAGTGATTGCAGTTGGTTGAGGTAACCTGAAAGCTAGGTCAAACTCCAACATCCCCAAATGAATTTCAATCTTCTGCTTCCAAGCTTTGAAATTGTTTCCATTCAGTTTCTCTATGTTGATAAGACTCAACATATTGGAATCTGCATTATGATTCATAAGTTAGTGACATGGTGTCACTCAAAATCTATAGAACCAATTACACCTTTAGGTAAGAAATTGTCTATATAGCAACATTAGGTTTCTTATTTTGTATAGCCAAGCACAAAATTATGTAACACTATATAAATACCACACCTTTAGGCAAGAAGATTTACATGCACTTTGTTTGTACCATACTTAGGGCCTCCGTATTTAGATCTCATATAAATACTCGGGGGACTCAAATGTAGTTATGTAATAAAGGAAGGGGCAAATATGTAATAAGTGAGGAGCCCTTATTCTATAAAAGGACTCCTCACTCTCCTTATTAGGAGAGGCTAATTTCTAGGCCATGAGGATCCTCACACTTTCTCCCTCACAATCCTTTCAAGAAATACAATATCAGTGTGGACATAGCCTAAACCTTGGGGTGAACCACGATACATCTTATGTTCTTTACTTTCATGCATATTCACGGTCGGATTTACGTTGTTCCAAGACCCCTTCGATTTTGTGCATCAACATTTGGCGCCGTTTGTGGGAAACGATACTAAAAGTTGTGTCGGTTCTCTTTCATTTTTTCACCTCCACCGTGAATTTGCAAAATCAAGAAAACCCATGATTTCCGCTCCAGCTTCCCATCATGGCAACAGCTACGAACAAGCTTCACAATTCTCAGATATACATATCTCTCTCTCTCTTTCTTTCTGTAGAAATGCTCTCCTCATCTCTCCTCCTGTCCAAATCCAATCTCTTCTGGCCCATCCTCAACTCCACACCCATGTAGCTTCATCTCATCCACAGTAACAAAACCCAGATATCCCATGTATCTGGAACAATGGAAGGTACACTATTTCCATCTCGACCTGTATATGTCATCCCAGCAAACAGACCAACGCAGCCAAACTCTTCTGTGAAATTCAACTTAATGATGCTGCCACCGCCTCCTTAGTCGCGAGCTCTACCGTTTCCTATAGACTCTCTCCTGCAGCACCTTTTGAGTCTTTCCTCGCCTCCCAACATTCCTCACAAGCTCAAGCCTTTAAACCCACCTCACCAAACCAATGGCAGTTCAATTTCTCTTCAAATTTTGGTGGATTCGACCTCCAAACAGCATCAAATGAAGAAACCCACCTTAGTTTTGGCCCCAAATTTCGAGGACGACGCGAGAGTTGTGAACAAAATCTTCCACCTCGCAGCTCAGATCAGATAAGAAGCAGGCAGAAACAGATTCGCGTAGATCGCCATGGATTCAGCTGCTCGAAGGAGTGGCGGAGACCTCTTCGAAAGTCTATACAGGGTCATCATGCGCCGTAACTCCATCTACGTCACCTTCGTCATCGCTGGAGCCTTCCTTGGCGAGCGGGCTGTAGATTATGGAGTTCATAAGCTGTGGGAGTACAATAATGTTAGGAAACGATATGAAGATATTTCAGTTCTGGGGACAAAGCAATCGGAAGAATGAGATTATAGATGCTTCTCTTTGACCGTTATAAAGTTCTCATAATCGAAGGTTGGAGCATGCAATTATGCTTTAGGAACACTCTTGCACTCGGTAGGGTTAAAACCACCTACAGATGTTCCATTAGAACCACTCAGCCGAACCCCCAACTTACAACGGATTTACGGACTGCCCTTGATTTTTTTAAATAACTTGTTGATGAGTCTAAGTTGGAAATGCGTGGCCCAAGTTCCCTCGGAAACTCTGCTGATAGCAACCAGAAGGAAGGTTGGCGTTTGGAAGGATCTGATGACAAAAAAGATTGGAGGCGGCCAGCCACTGAAAGTGAAAATAGCCGTCGTTGGTTTGAATAGGAAAGAGAAACTAGCTTGCTTGGTGGTAGACGAGACCGAAGGAAACCAGAACGCCGTGTCGACAATGTTCCAGTGAGAGACACAACTGACAATAGGCCACTGCCTGCATCTGAAAGGTGGCATGATGGCCATACCTTTGCACATGAAGCATGACGTGATAGCAAATGGTCATTGAGGTGGGGTCCTGAAGATAAAGAAATGGAGTGGGAGAAACAAAAGCAGAAAAGAAAAGAGGAAAGCAAAAGTGGAATAAAGGTAAAATGGAAAGAAAGAAAAGCACTCTGATGGGGTTTTTACAGCTGGAGTACACCAGCTTGTGTTTAAACAGCAGAAAAAGAAAAAGGAGGAGGCATATATACCAAAGCTGCTTATGTCGGTGCAAATCTTGTCAGCAAGGTTGAAAGAAATATTCCTGAGGATGACCCAAGAAACCTAGCTATGATAGTTGATAATGTCAGAGACAATGTTGGAGATATAACTGGTATGGGATTTGATCTTTTTGGATCCTATGCTGAGCATTGAATTGCCCGCGCACTTCCTCAACCAATACGGAAGCGTTGTCTGCCATCTGCTAAAAGGGAAAAGAGAAAGCACAAGAGAAAGCAAAAGTAAGGAATAAACACCCCACCAGAATGATGTGATTTACTTTTCTTGTTTTTGTATGATGTGATTTATTTTTCTTATCTTTAAGAGACATCTGTATAAACCCCATCAGAGGGTAATAATAATAAAAAAAAATGTCAAGCCCAAAATAATGGATGAAATGTTATGTGGAGGGCAAAGACCCATATGCCCAAAAGAGCCAAGCCCTTTATTATCACCAACCAGGTGATCAAAAGTACGTCCAGTACTTCAAACTTATTCGGCACCCTGCTGCTATTATCACCAACCAGGTGATCAAAAGTACGCTTAGTACTCCAAAAAATTTATTCGGCACCCTACCGCTATTATCACCAACCAGGTGATCAAAAGTACGCCTAGTACTCCAAAAAATTATACATGAGGATCACTCATGTCAATAATACATAAACATTCATGAGCATCGCCCATGTCAATCATACATAAACATTCATGAACATCATTCATGTCAACATTCATGAGCATCACTCATATAAACATTCATGAGCATCACTCATGTCAATCAGCTTCAAAAGCTTCATTTACAGAGCTCTAGCTTCAAAAGCTTCATTTACAAAAGCTCTAGCTTCAAAAGCTTTATTTATAGAGCTCCAGCTTTGAAAGCATCATTTACAGAGCTCTAGCTTCAAAAGCATCATTTACAGAGTTCTAACTTCAAAAGTTTCATTTACAAAAGCTTTAGCTTCAAAAGCTTCATTTATAGAGCTTCAGCTTCGAAAGCTTCCTTTATAGAGCTCCAACTTCAAAAGCTTCATTTACAAAAGCTCCAACTTCGAAAGCTTCATTTACAGAGCTCTAACTTCAAAGCTTCACCTACAAAGCTTTAGTGCAGGGTATACAAATACCGCCTTCGAACAACCGCCACTTCGGCCCATACATGGATTCAATTTAAAGTCTCCAGCCAACAGACTCTATTGACCGAAGACTTGGGGGACTACATTATGTACCATATATTAGGCCTCAACTGGGCCTCATGAAAAATACTTGGGGGATTTAGCCCATTATTTATGTATTGAGGAACGAACCCTTATTTTATAAAAGGGACTCCCTCACTTTCATTAGAGAGCACCCATTATTCATGTACTGAGGAGCGAGCCCTTATTTTATAAAAAGGGACTCCCTCACCTTCATTAGAGAGTATCGCCGCGAGCATCACTCCAAACCCATTATTCATGTACTAAGGAGCGAGCCCTTATCCTATAAAAGTGACCCCCTTACCATCATTAGAGAGCATCACCACCTACTGAGCAATCGCCTCGCCGCGAGCATCAACTCTAGCCCATCATTTATGTATTGAGGAGCGAGCCCTTATTTTATAAAAGGGAATCTCTCACCTTCAACGCCACAAGCCGAGCCAACCAAGGCAACATAAGCCACAAGCAGAGTAGCTTCGCAACATGTGCTACTTCTAGTTGAGCATCATTTCACTTTGAGCACCGCTTCATATCAAGTATTAGTTCAAGACGACATCTAGTTATTTCGGCCCACACATGGACTGAATTTTAAGTCTCCATCCAAAAGACTCTCTTGACTGAAAACTTGGGGGACTACTGTTTGTACCATACTTAGGGCCTCCGTATTTAGATCTCGTATAAATACTCGGGGGACTCAAATATAATTATGTAATAAAGGAAGGGGCAAATATGTAATAAGTGAGGAGCCCTTATTCTATAAAAGGACTCCGGCTCACTCTCCTCATTAGGAGAGGCCAATTCCTAGGCCATGAGGATCCTCATACTCTCTCCCTCACAATCCTTTCAAGAAATACAATATCAGTGTGGACGTAGCCCAAACCTTGGGGTGAACCACGATACATCTTGTGTTCTTTACTTTCATGCAGATTCACGGTCGGATTTACGTTGTTCCAAGACCCCTCCGGTTTTGTGCATCAACACACTACATGTTTTTATAACTGACAATACAATGGTTTATAACCGACCTAGTAGAGTCATTCTTTGGAAATATTATATAAACCACAAACTGATCATCATTATTGAAATCATATGAGAAAAAGAATAAATAAAACACTTTGGTGATTCATTTAAACATCAAATGATTTCATAAAATTACAAAAAAAAAAAAAAAAAAAAAATTGTAGAAGGACCCAACGCTAATTTTCCAAATTGTTTGTCTGTGCTCTGATTTGGGCTTATGATATCTTTCCGAAAAGAGAACGACACTATGAAGATCAAAATTTCCAGTGCTTTTTGGGGGTTTTGAATATTTAGGGTCCCAGTATTTATGTTCTTGAAGGAAATGATCAAATTCTTCGTAAATCTATTATTTAGGTCAATAATTTGGTTTTGGCCCTATCGATTCTACAACTATGTCATGCATGTTATGTAGGCAAGAGCATTTTAACCAAGGAAACTAGTGTGGAATCTCATACAGAAGGAAGCATATTGTATTATATATGAATCATGAACCCCCAACATAGAAGCATAGTAAAAAATTGAAGGCAGCGGAATACATAGTGCAGAAACTGAATTCATACATAATTAAGCATATTGCAGCTGAAATATGTAGGTAAAAACCAATAAATTCCAAACGAAATTAATACTTGAATTGGTGGCTGTGATACCACATGTAAACCTTTATTAATCATCATTCAGAGATCATAACAATCAAACAATTAATCTACGTTTTCACAACTTTGTGTATATAGTAGTAAACCCTAAATGGAGAAGCTATTATGGGACTTACTTGCAGTGGAAGACATCACAATTTTGATGAATGTTTGATCTTCACTTCTCTGAAATCCTTTAGCGTTAAGTGCTCTCAATAGGACTAGCAATCATAAGATAAAGACGTTGATTTGAGAAGAGGGATCAAGCCACTTATACGACAACTGCTTTTCCTATCGTAGAGACAATTACCATCAGTTTTTAATAGTTAGTAACTAACTCTAATTCTAAGAATTAATTATATTAGTTCACTTGATTAAACCATGTGTTAAGTCTTAATATATCATAATCCTTTATTTACTTCTTGTGTGACATACCAAAATAAATAGTTTGATCAACTTACATATGAAAAACTCTTACACCCACTTCCTTTCCACAAAGAAATTCAGCAAAACTTTCATAGACTGCGCAATAAACCATGCGAAAACCCCAAAACGAAGGTCGGATTGGCATCCAATTATGCCACAAAAGGACTAATTTTCACCTTGGCATTGGTCGTCGCACTTAGCAGAGCCACCCCAATCCCGCTATTGTGTAAAAAATCATTGCTTTTTGCTTCCACGAAACTCTCTGGCCCCCTGTAAGCTTGTAGGAAAGAAACTCGCTTTTGGGTCCGTGAGGAGGCCAAGACTCTGATGCTTTGGAGGACCGGGACCAAAACCCAAATGAGATTTAGGGGAAAATTAAGAGAATCCCATTTGAGTTTTGGTATCTTAGATTGGAAGACAGTCTGTGAGAGCATGAGATTGAAGACGTTGAAGTTATGAGTTTTCTAGATGGAGAGAGTCTGAAGAAGGAGGACGAGGAGGTTGCTGGGGCATTGGTGGTGGGAAAGGGGTTGAGATTGAAAAAAGTGAGTTTGTGTTTCGTTACAGCTGTGTCCATGAGAAGATTTGGGTTGCAGTTAACATTTCAGAGAGAGAGAGAGAGAGATGATGTGAAAAAGTGCGAGAAAGTGGAAGCAGAGTCGTGAATGACTAGTGAATTTATATGGGATAAGATTTATGGCGGAGAAGAAGTCGGTTGGGTAGATTTTATGGTATTGTCGTTGGACATCCAAATGAGGAAGGAATATGCTAGAGAGAGAGTCCAAGTACCTTTTTCCTTTTCTAGTTTTTGGACATTTTGGAAATTGATACATGAATGTTCCGCACTTCATTCTTGTCGAATGACACAAATTAACAAGGAGTGTGAGAAGTAAAAAGGGGTGTGCGAATAGACACCTATTGCAAAATGGGCAATATATGTGTTCATATGTGCACTCAATTATTATAGCATCTCTAATGGTTTGACTATATTTCTTCATAGTGTGGGATTATAATTTTCAATCTCTAGTAGTGCATGAGTTACTTTTTGTTGGGACTGG